ACCAGTATGTGGCCGGTTTTTGATTTTAATGCTTGGACCATTCGCTGTGGAGCTGCCTTTCTTTTCGGAAAATCAACTCAAGCAGCATGGCCATGTTAGCTACAGTTGATAGACAGCTATATGCTCTCTTTTTTCACTCCGCACAGACTTATTTGTCCACATATATTTCTCATTTTCTGGAACATTTCAACCACTTGAAAACAGCATATATCTTTTCCTATTAGAATTTTATATTTTATAAATGCATTTTTGTATGGTGGGTCTCACATATCATTGATGATAAAGTCAATAAAACGTTGGTATCGTAATTTTTTTAAATTCTTTAAAATTATATTTATCGAAATCATATCCATATTCAAAATTATCGAATAATAAAATCATCATTAAAATTGATCTTATCATTATAAAAGTCATTCTTTATATTTATAATATATAGTCTTTATACACAAAATACATCATATGCACATAATAAATATAATTTTCGTAAAAATTATTTAACAATTCTCATATTGACCTTCAATTTAAAATTATAATCACAAACTAATCACATTTATCATTTCAAATTCCAAACACTCCAAATAGAAACAAAAGGATAGACTTTAAACAATTTTTATGGAAAATCAAGTCACATAATCAAGGTTACAATTTTTTTACCAAAAATATCAATTTAATCATCATAAACTATGACAAGTATCAACCAATGCAATAGATCATATCCTTAAGTTTCATGTCACATATTCAAACTTAACTTCTTAGTACCGAATATAATTCCAAATTCATATGTTAATAGCTTTCGAATTCTATAGGTCAATTATCATATAATATGAGAATTCTTCACAAAGCTCATAAAATCATAATGTTTCAAAATTTGCTTGTAACCAATTATATTACTATTAACAATTTGACAAAAGAATTTTATTGCAACTCAAAATATTCATTCAAAATGTACTTTGTTAATGACATCTTTCAACAATCATGACCTTAGTTTCCGTGCAAAAATCATGGCATATATCTTATATCATAACAAATAATATTCTTTATTAAACACTACTCAATGAAATTTACATTCTACCTCAATCAAAATTTATAATCATAATGTAATCACATTAATTATCAATATTTCATAATACTCTAAAATATACATCTAATGATTGAATTGCAACAAATACTCAAAATATCAAATTTTGACATTAAGGTTAGATGCTATTAACTAAAGTCAAAATCTTGCCTAAATAAGTGAATATCCTTACATCCATCATAATTTTAATTAACAAATACACATTAAAAAAATAATAATATCCATAAAAATTTCACAAATATCAATACAAAAGTACCTCAAATTTACCAATATCAACTCCAATATTTCATACTTAATATCATATAAATTCAATTAATTCGATGATCAAAAGTTCACCATATATAACTCCAAAACCTCTATATATTAAGAATCCGATTTCGATATTATATGTCCTCAAAAGATCTTTTTCGTTCTAATAACATTTAGACATATAATATCTAACTTATCAAAATCTTATCAAAGTCACTTCATTTATAGATTATTATCTCATGACAACTCTATTATTTCATACTTTGACTCCAAGATACCACAAAAATCGTGCTTAACAATTTATTAAAGATCCATAAGCAAAGCTTAAAATAAATCATTGAAAATAAAAAATCTTACCTCAATTCTATGTAAAAGACCTCCAACTATCAAAATTAACCTCTTTAATAACTTAGGCTTAATGATACTATTTTATCAAAACTCGTGCCAAAATCAATTACTTACAAACTTGTCATTATTTTTTTATCCACTTCAACAAACTTTATCCTCCTCACAAATTTCAAAACAATGTCTCAATATCAATCACATTAACAACTCCAATATTCACAGAATTACAAACCTGGCTCTAATACCACTAATTTATCACAACTCAAACCCGAGAATTTAGGACATAACAATACCACTACTAATGAGATGAATCTCATAAGCTTGCAAGGCAATAGATATTGACATAAATCAAAATCTCCTATAGCCTCTAAAATAATCACTATAAGGGAATAGGTTTTTAGTGACCTTTTTTTTTTTTCATGTTTAGTGGCGTTTCTAAATATCACTAAATGATTCGCAATATTTGTCAAAATGTAGCTAAGAGTTTCAATTGTACCTACGTTGAAAAAAATAACAGCATTTTAGGGAAAACATTTCTAAGTTTACGATATTAATGCACAAAAATGCCGCTAAATTTAGTGGTGATTTTGTGCAAAAATGCCCCTAAATTACCAAAAATTAACGATGTTTATGTCAACAAATATTACTAAATTTAATGGTATCTTGCAAACGAACACCATTAATTTTGCAATTTAACGGCATTTTTTTATTACAAATACCATTAAATTAGAAATTTTAGTTTTTTTAAAAAATTTTCAATATTTATTATAATAATTAAATAAAAATTATTGAAAAAATAAATGTATTTTCATAAACTGAATATTATAAATATTTAAATATTTAAATACATAATTTGCTCTAATATACATGTAACATAAAATTTAATACAATAATATTCAAATTGTTTCAACACATTAACCAAAAATTTAAAATATATAAAATTGATAATCATTTAGACTTTGTATTATTCACAAGAAAAGCGATTTACTCGTAAAAGTTGCTGTATATAGTGCCCAATTTCTATGACATGCAAGTAATGGTAGCATGAATTGCATCATACCTGCCATGCTAATCCTCTTGTAAATGAAAAGAATATGTAAAATTACTTAAACCAAAAGCTTAGGAAATTCAAACATGCAAACCATTTACGAAAATGAGATAAAAACCAATTTGTAAATGGTTAATAAGGCAAGATATAATCATATATCTATATCTAGATAAAATTCATATTAATTGAGCAGAAAGGAAAGATGAAAGAGAAACCATTATACTTTTATTAATTAATCACCTTAGTTTAATGCATATACTTTTTCTCTATATCTATAATATAACATAGATACACTTATTAAAATATCCCAATTATTGTCATAATAAGCTTAATTGTTAAGCTAATATTTTAATTTAAAGTTTGAGTTGTCTGTTAATAGAGTGTTTGGATATTTAATTTCAATGATTATAACTCAAATTCTGATCTCAAATATAAAAAAAATCCACTTTATATTTCATCAAAACTAGTTCTATCTTTATATATATAATGTCAATAACACCAAAATAGCTTGCATTAATAAAAAAAATACTATGAAATTTTCTATCTTAATTTATTCTTTCAATTAGAATATCTACTCCATTCTTTAAGATTTATTTAAATAACAATAATAGTCGACAACAAATTAAAAAGAATACTAAACACAAAATTATTGAACTTAGAAAACATTACTATATTAATTCCTCTCACAAAATAAAAAGCTTTCAATTATTTAAGGCTGAATATTTATGTTTTAAAAGGCATGCAATTGGTGGCTAAGTAAATAAATAAAACAGATGATCAGTGTCAAGTTATTATAGTATTATTATTACCCAAAAAAATAAAAATGGATGTTGAAATAGAATGCCACAACAAGCTAAAGCTTTACTTTACTTTTAAATTGGATCATGGATAATACCAAACTTTTTATAGTGGTTCACAAAAAAAGGCAACCCGTCATATTCAAACCATTATACTATGGCAATCCGTATATATGTAGATGCCACCATTTAAAAGCATTTTCAATTTTTTTTGTAATTAAATTAATTAAACTTGTCATTTTCTTTAACTTGCTTTCCTTCCATGTATGTAGTTTCTAACTCTAAAGTGTCTAAAGTTTTATTTAAGGTTAAATATAAAAATAACCTAATTTCAGTAATTGGTTTGCACACTAAAGTAATGGAGCTTATTACCATCAAAAGTCACATAAATGTAGTATTCTCTAGTCATAAAGGCTACTTGTTCTGAGTTTAGTCTAGTGAAGGTAAACATTTGAATTTGTTTGATAATATGACTCCAATCACCAAGTGTACATGCCAAATGGAAAATAAATGTAAATGTGAGAAAACAACGTATACATAAGGATGAACCTTGATTAAAAGTAGCTTTCCAAGGTTTAAGTTTTTCTTTTCATGTAAACAGTAGGGCAATGTATTTAAACAAAGCAAAGTGACATAAGAAATTGCAATAAGAAAATAGAAGAAACTTTGAAATGACTTTTAGCCCGCAAAGCATAAAAAAGTTATTGGTGCATGCTGATGTTACTGTCAACCATTACTTTTAACTTTATCACCTATTCATTGTACCATTTTTTGTTGGTGAAAAGAAAAAAAAAATAAGGACATTCATTTAAGAGTAAGAAGTCCATTAAAATAAAAAGAAATTAAAGGAAATAAAACATTAAAACAGGATGACTGAATTGGTGGATTTGAAAACATGTGTTGGATAATAAGTTTCAGCTAGCTTTTAACCCTACTTACTTCATCAACTGTCTTGCCGACCTATTGATAATGAATAAAAAAAATTCTCCATACCATATTACCAACATATAAAGGGCCAGAAAAGGTAAAAAAATGTTATAATATTTTATAAACCAAAATGAGAACTTTCAAAAATGAGAAAAATGTATCAAATTACAAAAACCAAAAATCCTGAATAAGAGAAATCTCACTTGATAAAAATATTCGACCACTAAGATAATTTTGCTAGTCTTAAGAAGTATCAAATCATAGTATGCACAAGTTAATGCACACAACAGGACACTGCTTAACCAGTAAACTTCTTATCTTTAGCAAATAGTTTAAACACCACTTATCAGTAGCATATCAATAGTATCTACAGTCTTTAGTTACCTTAACTTGGGGAAAAAGTTATATAACCACCAATAGATCACTAATTTCAAGTTCTTTTACCATTTAATGAACCACAAACAATCATTATTCACAAACTCTAGATAATCAAAACCATAATTGGAACAAAAAAAGTTTTACCTTTGAAGTATTTGTAAACAGCATCCTCTTTACTCTAGGGCTTGCGCTGCCTCACAATGACAACAAGCAAAATGTTTTTCCTAAAATCAGGCTTCTTTTTCTTAATAGTTGCCATCACCATATCTCTAAAACAAGCAGATGGCAAACGGTTAAAGCAGCCTTTAATTTCATTCACCAAGATTATATAAAGGTTATTAGCATCAGTGTCATCAACATAGTTCACTGTAGCCCCTAAACTTGTTATCGGCTGACCCTCGACATCCTAATAAAAAAAATTCAAACCTCTTTCAGCTATCAAACAGTGTAACAGTACTTACATAATTTTTTTTTATATTTTATAAACCTTTAGAATTTTAAATCAGCTAACAGCTATTGAGGTAGCATTTTTTAAATTTAATAAATCAAAACATAAAAAACTAAATTTCATTTCTAGGTTTCATCTCATTTTTGTTTATAGGGTTAAAATCATGCAAGCAAATAGAATAAGTTGGATTTTTTTCCCTTATTTTACACTTTGTTTCTCAGTAAACAAATGGAAAAAAAAAAGAATAATGGTTCATAGAAATAAAAGGACAGAGATGGAAACTGATCTTGCTTTGACATTTGTTATGGCTAAAAATGTTGCAAAAACGCTTTTGGGCATCAGTGATGAAGAAAGCACCGTGTCACTTGGAGCAAATTTCTCTTCACTAAAGCTTTTTAATGATAGAAAAATAGGTTATTTGATGGAAGTAAAATTGAAGGAAAAGAATGGGAAAAGAAAAGGAAGGGGAAATGAAAGAAAATAGAAAGAAAATTTTGTAGCAGAGAATTGCAAAAAAAAATCGAATAACAGAAAGGGCAGGGGGAAAAGATAAGGTAAGATGGATTTATGATATTTTTAAGGGAAAATTAGTAGCGTTTGAATTTACTAATGCCATTAAATTTTACGAATTGAAGGTGTTTTTTTCAAAAAATTGCCATTAAATGAAAAAGTTTGTAGAGGTTGGGTTGATCAATAAATGAAAAATTGGATGCATTTTTAAATAAACGCCACTAAATTTTATAAATTAACAGCATTTTTACTTATAAACGTCAGTAAATTTTTGAAATAAATTTTACATATTTATATTTTCAAATTAATAAATTTGTAATTTGTAATTTTGTAGTGTTTGATTATAAAAACGCAGCTAAATTTTACATTTAGTAACGTTTGCAGGTCCAAACATTGCTAAATTCTCTCACTTTGTGGTGTTTACATTTTCAAACATCGCTATATGTTTATTTTGCGGTGTTTGTCCAAAAAACGTTACTAAGTTATAAAAATACAATAGTTAGTAGCATTTGTGGCAAAAGGCCACTAAATAAATGTCACCATAATCTCCATTTTCCTATAGTGAATGTTTTGCAGAATCTTAAGTCTATAAAATTATACCCTTTACAAGTTGGTCGAATAACTAAAACTCTTACTAATAAATATTTTAAGATCAATAATAAAATACTCACTTTGAAAGCTATACCAAGCTAAAGACAAATGTTTATCTTGCTAATCTAAGTAGTCAAAATTAAGTCTCCAAAGATACAAATATCAAAATCTAAAAAAAAAAAAAATTGAAGATCAATTTCAAATTTTAAAGTACTCATACACTTACAAAATACCTTGTTTAAAAACCATAAGCCAAAATAACAAAACTCAACAAATATTGCAATTTTAGTTTTGTAAATCTATCTCCCTTAACAAGCTATAGCTATCTTTAACCTTGATGGCATGGTTAAAACAATCGGGTGATTACACTGAACAATCATAATTAATTCGTTAGTGTAATAGGACAGAAAAAAAATCATAGTAATCCATTTATTACAATGAGATAAAAGTATATTACTATAATATAGTGACTAAAAATCACTATTATTAAACAATGGCACAATTCAAAACCGGTTTCTATATTACAAAGTACATGTTGACATGGACAATGTTTAACCCTCATTGGTAAGGTCAAATCATAGTTATACTAGGAGACAAATCAAATCATATTTTCAAATTACCTAAATACACAAAATAGTATTCATATATTTTTGTAAAACTTATCTTGTACAAAGCCAATTTCATATTTTTCTTTTTAAAGTATCTTATACAAAAATCACAATCTCATAGATAAATACATATATGCCTATATGATATATTAATAAAATCATGTTCAAAATCAAAACAAAATCACATTTTAGATTCAAAGCAAAAGAATCACATACAGACATAGTTTGCATGCTTAACTCGATTTAATAAACCGGAAGGACAAAATATAATATGCCAAAATCTAAATTCATATCGAGGCTGATTTTTAAGGAAAGAAAACTAAAGAGATATCAAGTCATTTATCTAATGCATTAAACCGAAACTTAAATAGCAAATCACATAAATTTCTTAGTGTTTTAAAAATTCAAAAAAAATTTAAAAATCAAAATTTACTTAAAAAACATAAATTTAACAAGTAAACCTTTCATTAGTCATCCAAACAAATTGGTTTGTGCAACAACTTTTATGACAAATCAAAACTATTTGAAAGTACTTTTAGCATATTAAAACAAAATTTCTTTTAATATAAAAAAATGCTTAAAATTGAGTAAAAATGTGAAGTTAAAAATTAAAAACACAAAAATCAATAGCAATATAAATTTTTATAAATATTTAATTTTCGTATTTAATAGTAATTATTTTTGTAAGTTTGAATATAATTTAATAGTTTTTTTTAACAATATTAATAACATGAAATCAATACAAAAAAATTAAATAAGTAGAAATTCATTAAAATAATATAACTAAAATTTGTGTAATTTTTAACTAAATACATCATATATTGACTGGAAATAATTTTTAAAATAATTAAAAATGATATTTTCTCAATTATGAAATTTTGCATTTTGTGAGCATTTAACTTACTTTGAGCCATAAAATCTCTAACATTCCACAGCTTTTAATGACAAAGGAAAGCACAAGTTAAAATAAAATTATAATATTACAACTTAAATTTTGTTTCGATAAAAATGACTTACAAAAGCCTAAATTTCGAAGGCTAAAATTTTGCAAATCATCACAAATAGTCCAAATTTTTTAGGTTTTACATTTGTGAAACCTACTTTGGAGCTTCAATTCTTTTAACCTATAAATCATCTAAACAAACCAATTATACCACTAAAAGGATCACATTTAAGCTTCCATAAGTCTCTTTTACTCCTCTTCACTAGGTTCCTCAAACCCTTTATGAATAATTTCCCATAAGTCTTAATACTCTAACAATACCTTTATTTGTATACTCCAATTATCATAGTTATTCTTGCCCAACTTAGAAATTTGGGGTTGCACAAAGTTGTTAGCCATTATTATACCAACTTCACCAAAACCCACAACAAATCACCACAGCAATGAAAAATACCACAAATGGAAGGCCAAAGTTTAGTAAACTTCACCAAGGATTCAACACAAATAAACCACAAACTCTAATACAACTTTTGTTGGGAAAAAAGTCCTAAGAGATATTTTCACAAACACTTGGCATACATACTCCATAGAGCTTCTTAAAACACAATAACCCAAGTTTCAATGAACCACCTAAATCACAACTTTTCACTTTAATTATACACAAGTTTCAGCATAATTTTTACACAAAAAACTATTTTCAATCAACCAAGCTCAAAATTCTAAATAACCACAAAACTAACTATTAAGCATAACAAACTTTCAAATTTATAAATAAAAAATAAAATAACATTTTTTTTACTTCAAAATGCATAAAAAAATATTTATTTTAGTAAAGTAAAAAAAAAAAAAGGCTTACTCAAAAGTTTACATTTTTCTCACAAAGATAAAAAAACTCATTTTCTTCCTTCTTCCTTGACGTTACTACTAAATCTTCTCTATTTCTCTACACTATTTTTCAACCTCTATATTCACAGTTTTTGTATGTTTTTTACTCTTTTATTTAATTTTTGTACATTTTCCCTCTAATAAATCCTATTTGTTAGTGTTTCGACCCCACATTCGCTTGCTCTCTGATCTTCTATAAATAGCACCCTGGGGGAGGAGGAGGACTATAAGCAAAGTTGCTACTAGCTAGGTGAGTCTTCTTCCTTGTTTTCCATACTTCAACCAAAGATTTGCTTAGTTAATTGCTTAGCTATCTTCCCGCCCTTTTTCCCACTCATATGTTCATTCACAAAAACCTCACATTGTGGCCCAGAAGAAACTACTCTCCATTCTTGTTCTCCTTTTGCTTGTTTTCGTCTTGGAAATTCAATGCGTTGTTGGAAGGCATTTGATATTTGACCGAAACCACAGTTTCCAAAAGGTCCAACCTTACGGTAGAAACCTATCAATGGAAACAGGGACAATTCTTGATCCAAAAATTAATGGTGTTAACATTAATAAAGCAGCTGTTACCAACACGAAGTCTCCACCTTCACCACAAAGTGTGGTTATAGGAGAAACCCAAGCCCCGCCACCCAAAATTGTAGACAACTTCAGGCCTAAAACTCCTGGCCACAGTCCAGGCGTCGGTGATTCCCTTCAAAACTAGGTCAACAATTTCTTACACAGTTCTGGAGCAGTACTGCGCCATCTCCATGTTAAACTTCGCATTGCAGACAGATGGTATTTTAACATGAATGGCGACAGAAAGTTCTATCCTGGAAAGACTTCAGCTTATTAATTAGTTTGGTTTCTCTATTTGACTTGTCTTTGGTTTCAATTTCAGTTTGAGGTACCTTAGGTTTGAGTATTGTTATATGGCGTCTGGGTTTTTCAGGCCCTACTTTGTATCAACTTTTAATTATTAATAAAAGTTTGGCTTTGCAAAAAACAAAAAAACAAGGTTTGAGTATTGTTTGGAAGGGAGAAAATAATCATTTGTACTTTGTGTGTCCTAGACAAAGTTGAAATCCTGAGAGAAAAAAAAAAAAAAAAAAGGATTGGGCTTTTGGGAGGAGAGAGTTAGTCCAAGACAAAAGAATTTGTTATCTACCCAATTAGTGTTTGTTAAAATATTTTGTGAATTAAATTCATGGGTTTTTATAGCTCGTTCTTTGCCTATTGTTACTTTATTAGTTCTCCATCGGCTTATTGCGAAACTCAAAACAATTTTAAAAGATAACACGTCCGTTAGAAGTATTTCTTCTCCTCTACGATTGGCATATCTATCAAATACAATATCATTAACTGCACGATTCAAAAGATTGAAGAGCAAAGTGATATAAGGTCACTTGCCATTCCTTTTTATCTCTAACAATTTGCAGTTCGTTATGGTTTGTATTCTGCAACGACTAGCATATCTATCAAATACAAATCTTTTCTGGACGTTTTGGTAAACGATCCAAAGGCACTCTTTCAAGGCGAGTATATATAAACCATACTCCAATACTGCAAGTTATTTGACAGAGTAACTTCTTATTCTTTATTTATTTCACTTAAGATGTCAAACTCTTCTAAGTTCCAATGATTTGGGGGTTCCAATGAAGGATTTGGGGGTTTCATATTTAGTGTAATCTTAGAAAAATATGAACATTTTCTTTGGAATTAGTCTTACTATTTGTATATATTTACTGCGCAATGCACTGTGCAATGAACGTAGACTCAGATGTGTGAAGTATTGCAGTACCAGGAACAGTTATTAGGAATCAAAAGATCATATGCATGAGAGATTCCTTCTGCTCGAACTGAAGTCTCAAGTCAATTTAATTTTAAGCAGAACTGCAAAGTTTCATTTTACAGACTAGCACGGCTGAGAATCAAATGTTTTTGTTCTCTTGTTGTGACTAGCACTGCAAAGGGACCTCTCTTTTGGTTGGTGCCCTTGACTTTTTGATTAATTATGAGCACGCTGATTTATTTACCAAAATCACAAACTATAAGCATGCTAATGGGTAAGACAAACGATCGATCACGCCAATGACAAAAAAGGACCCGTTCCTTACACAAGCATGAACTGTATAGTTATATATTATGCTATATAAAGAGTTTGAACTAACAAATTAAACAACAATGACTTCAAAATTTGCATTCTGATTGCATTTTGAAGTAGTAGTTCCACACTTGATTAGGATTATTTTTTCAGTGATCCGTACCGGCAGGCTCCACTGTTAAATTTTAGTGGAGTATTACATATAATTAAACAATAGAAAAAAAAAATCCATTTCTTATTAACAATCAAATAAAAGATTGAGGCATGCCTTCGTGATCATCCTTGCTAATCGTAATAAAAAAAACAGACTATATATATACACACATCGTAAAGATTAGAATTATAAAACAATAATAAACCTAAAAATTAAAGCATAGAAAGGATCGAAAATAAATAAAAATCTTGATTGGGTTTTTGGTGCCCACGTGCATTAAGAAACAGTTGTAGATCAATCGTTAAGTTAGTTTTAAAAACCGTAATCTCACTTATTTTTAATACCTCACTTAATTCATTATTAACGATAAAGATATATTCTCTAATTTAATCTTAAAAAGGAATTGCTTTAATTAAATTGAAGGTTTTGGTAGGTTCCCTTAAATGTGCCTACTTACTTTTCTATTTATTTAATATTTAATTTGGTCTTACACGAGAGATAGAGAGAGGGACTAAGCCTTTAGGGGTTTTCAACCATACAAGTTGCAAGTGGAAGCATGCATCGCTGTATACGAATCTAATTTAATTTTTTAGATATCACGATTTAAAAGTGATAGCATAAATTAATTGAATCAAATCTTAAATTTAAAGAATTAATCACTTTTTCCCTTATATAAAAGTATTAAACTAAAATATTCTCTTTAGCTTGATGATATAACTACCACATTTCTTTTAATTTTATTCTGAGGAAAAAAAGAATTTGATCACCACCCTTTCAACAGAGAGACTACAAAATGGTATTGGACTCTGATATTTTTGGACTACAATTAGATCACCACTCTGTTTTTGGACTTGTTTCAGGGATGAGATAATGATATTGCCTTATCTCTTATTAATGAAAATCTATTATTGGCTAAGAAAAATATAGAGAGACTCAAATGTTGGATTAGAATATTTATCTCTTGGAGGGGTTGAATGCTTTTATATATATTGAGAATTTTGATTAGTTGATAATTCATTTTGAACCAAACTTTAATTCTTCTTTCTGTTTCACCATGAAATAATTATTTTTCAAGCATATCTCTTAAATTGGCAAAAAAAAAAAAATTCACTTAACAATCTGATATCATTGTGCTTATAAAGATGGTACAATTTACTTGAATGGAATCAAGGTGCCCCAATTATATATGTCTCATGGGATCATATTTGTATCAAGATATCTCAATATCTCACCTAACCTCAACTCATATCTCTCTAGATTATAAAATTCATCATAAATCTATTATAATTAAGAAATAAAAATTTTAAATAATTATCAAACTAAAAATTTCATAATCGATATATATTAAAAAAATATTAGATATTGTACCTTTAATTGTAATAAATTCATCCAACTCATGTGATGTAGAGTTTGGATTTTCCTTGCCAATTTTTCCTTTTTTATCTCTTCATTTGGGCTGGGCTCAAAGAGTGTGAAGTGGAACCAATACTTTCTATATTATATATGCAACCCAAAATAGAAATCTATGATTAACGTAGAAGTGTTTGGGCCTATGCAATAATTTTATACCCTGGGCTTTGTAGGTCAATGGCTCTTGTTGCTCATGTAAGCTCATGTTAGCGGATAAGTTGGTCATGCAAACTCAAATTCTTGGTCTGGTTTACGTTCCAAAGAATGCTAAAATCTCATAAAATGCTGCGAATGACTACCTTCTTATTACCAGAGTCAACCAATTCACATTTGTTTATATTTTTAAGCCCATTCTTATCTTTAACGAGCCCATAAATTTTCAACATAGTCTACTGTCAAGGAATCAAAGGATTAACCATTGAGTTGAGGCCTATGTCTATTATTATATATTAAGGAATATATATTATCTTATTATTTTTTACAATAAAATTTAAAATTTTAGCATTTGATAATTTTTATTTGTTAATCTTTGAACAAGAATATGTTTAATTTGAAATCATGATAGGGAGATTCGGGAGAATACGAACACAAATATGAAAATGAGAGAAAATATAAAATTGCCGACAAACTTTCTCGATGATGCATGATCTTGGGACTGCATACTTTTTGAGGTGGAATTTTGAAAATGACTTGTGATATTACACATAACGTTTCAAAATCCATTAGTAACGGTTAATTGTTCATGTTAATTACTTGCCTATTCCAAAATCCATTTGACTGATTCTCATTAAAAGTAGTGTCCGATACACTGCTTATTGAGTTCCTTCTGTCATTCCTTTCTATCACTACGAAAGTGGAGGAGAGGAATATATAAACGATAGCAGAAGTTGCATTACTAAATTAAATTATTCCTAGGAAAAAAGAAAATTTTTAATGATTTCTGATTGAATTTCTGATTTTTTTTGCCAAAAATGATTTTTTGAAAAGGAAAAGGGTAAACATAATCATAGAAGATTCTCACACGTCAAATTCTGAGGCGGAAACCGAGTATACAGATATTTTTTCATTTTTATGACCTTTTTTTTTTTCAGTTATAGAGTTTTGTTATTTTTAATATTATTTAAATTTATATTCATTAAATATCTACAAAGATAAAACTGAAAATAGATTTAAAATATTTATTAAATATGAATAAGAGAATAAATATAATAAAAAATCTAAAAATAAATATAAAAAATACTCTACCCTTCTCATAACATATTCATTGACATCCTTACATCAAAGATTTTGATGGGTGTTGGATTTTTGGCCAAGTGAGATGCCATTTAGGATTTCAATTTTATTTATATTCAATTAAAATTTGATTTTTTATTCAAATAGTAATAAAAATGAATATTATATAATGAAAATTAAAATAAAAATAGATATTAAAATATATATTATTTTAAATTTTTTTATTGAATACAAAGATCATAAAATAAATAATATAACATTAGTCTTGTACTTACATCCATATTTTACATATATATATATATATATATATCTATATATTTAGTAAATAGACCTGAATTAACCCCGGTCACCCAATTTTTTTACGGTGAGCTTTGATAGACAAAATATTCAACTCTTGGCAAGTCATTCAAAGCTAACCATTCTACCGACATACAAAGAGGAGATTTTGATGGGTATTTGGCTTTTGACTTGCTAGGTGCAATTTAAGATGTTAATTTTACTTATATTTAATTAAAAAATTTTAATTTTTTATTTGAATAGTAATAAAAATAAATATTACATTATAAAAATCGTGATAAAAATGAGTATAGAAATAGATATGATTTTAAATTTTTTATTAAATATAACGATAAAGATGGATAATATAACATCCGTCTTGTACTCATTTTTATATTTTATATATATATTTATATATATTTAGTAAATAAATTTTTTATTAAATAATATAAATTATTATTTTAGAATAATTACAACTAATATATTTTTACTTAAAATATATATTAATATATTTATTAAAAGTTTTATATAAATATGCAAGATAAAATTTTTTTAAAAAGTTAAAAATATATTTTTTGATTTTTAATTTTTTAAAAAAATTATAGATAC